CCGCCTAGAGTGAGCAGCATTGTGGCTGTTGAGTACTGCTTGGGTACAAATCCCTGCTCTGCTACTTGCCAGCTGTGTGACCTTGGGCAAGTTATCAATTTCTGGGTCTTACTCGTCTATACATTGGAGAATCAGAGAATCTAATGATAATACTCTCTCTGTAGAGGCCTCAGGAAGATTAACAGGAGAGGTAGCAGAGCCTGGTGCTTAAGGGCACAGACCCTGGAGACAAATTACCTGAGTCTGAGTCCTAGCTCCACCTACTTTACTAGCTGTGTGACATTGGGAAAGTTCCTTAAGCTCCTTGTGCTTCAGTATTCCACATTCATAAAATGGGGGAGGTGGGGACGGGGACCGTGCTTATCTCCTGTGTCTGTCGTGAGAATTAAATGAGTCAATTCATGTACTAGTCCTGGTGCATAGAACATATGGCAGGGATGTTAGGTATAGTTGTTCAGGTTTTTCACTCTTCAAGACCTCCCACCTGAGAGGTCAACAGGGGCTTGCCAGGTCATGCACCTTGGTAGAAGATTGCCTACCCAGAGGTGGTATTGTTTTCTAGTCTGTACCAGGACCCTGTGTGGGCCACCTGGCAGCATAAGGAATTAGAGTATCCAGAAAATGCTATCTTTGCATTGTCCTTAGGCTTTGGGCCCACGTTAAGTGAGCTGATGCTGGTTTTGCTACCTGGAGGCTTCGTGGAGTTCTCCAGAATAACCTTCATGGGATGCCTATACCCTAAGCCTTGGTATCACTATTCAGATACTGTCTTGGAAACCAAATAAAAAATAATGTGGGAGGCCGAGGTGAGAGGATTGTCTCATCCCAGGAGTTCAAGACCAGCATGGGCAACATGGTGAGACCTCGTCTCTACAATCAATAAAAAAATTAGCTGGGAATGGTGGCACATGCCTGTAGTCGCAGCTATTGGAAGGCTGAGGCAGAAAGATTGCCTGAGCTCAGCAGGCTGAGGCTGTGGTGGCTGTGATTGTGCCACTCTGCACTCCAGCCTGGGCAACAGAGTGAGACTCAGACTCAAAAAAAACCAAAAAAAACTTACGAGGTAAAAATGTTAAAAATCATTCTTGACAATACTCTGTATTGCTTAGGTACACATACAGGTGTGGTTTAAGCTGGGAAAAACGCACAAGAATGACAGGCACCATATTCCCGATAATGAGTTACCTGGGGTGAGGAGGGAATGGACTTAGGAAGGGACATAAGGGAACTTCAGCTCTATTCATAATGTATTTCTTAAAAAAAAAAAAAATTTAAGATGGTTTATTCTTGAACCAAACTTGAGGGCAAGTTTGTACCTAAGCCCAGGTGCCCCCATCCTTGGGAGGTCCTGAGAACGTGCACTCCCATAGTTTATTTCTTAAACTTAACAATGACTACCTATGTGTTTTTTATCTTCTAGTTTTTAAATATTTTAAATAGGCTGGGCGTGGTGGCTCATGCCTATAATCCCAGCACTTTGGGAGGCTGAGGTGAGAGGATTGCCTGAGTCCAGGGGTCTGAGACCAGCCTGGGCAACTTGGCGAGACCTCATC